TCCACCTGCCGATGCAGGGGACATGGGTTCGTGCCCCGGTCCGGGAAGATCTCACATGCTGCAGAGCGGCTGGGCCCGTGAGCCATGGCCGCTGAGCCTGCGCATCCGGAGCCTGTGCTCCGCAACGGGAGAGGCCACAACAGTGAGAGGCCCATGTACCACAAAAAAAAAAAAAAATCAAATGTGACTCCACATTAAGAGGGTTGCTAAAAAAGACAAGAAATAACAAGTGTTGGTGAGGGTGTGGAGAAAAGGGAACCCTCGTGCACTGCTGGTGGGACTGTAAATTGGTACAGCCACTATGGAAAACAGTATGGAGGTTACTCAAAAAACTAAAAATAAAATTACAATATGGTCCAGCAATTCCACTCCTGAGTATTTACTAAAGAAGACAATAACACTAATTCAAAAAGATACATGCATCCCTATGTTCACTGCAGCATAATAGCCAGGATATGGAAGGAACCAAAGTGTCCATTGATAGATGAATGGATAAAGAAGATACACACACACACACACACACACACACACATACATACATAGTATGAAATATTATGCAGCCATAAAAAATGAAATCTTGCCATTTGTGACAACATGGATGTAACTTGAGGGTATTATGCTAGGTGAAATAAGTCAGACAGAGAAAGACAAATATCATAAGATTTCACTTATATGTGGAATCTAAAAAAACAAACAAGCAGTGTATGTATAACTGACTCACTTTGCTGTACAGCAGAAACACAGCATTGTAAATCAACTATAATAAAAAAAACTATAATAAAAAAACTAGAAAAACAGCATTGTATATCAACTATAATTTTAAAAATTAATTTAAAAAAAAGAAAATTTTTAATTAAAAACAAACAAAAAAATCAAAACAAAACCAGACTCACAGATACAGAGAACAGACTGGTGGTTGTCAGAGGAGAGGGGAGGTCGGGGGGTGGGGACATGAATGGGGGAGGTTGAGAGGTACAGACCTGCAGTTATAAAGAGAATAGGTCATGGGGATGTAATGTACACCATGGGGAAATATAGTCAATAATATTGTATTAACTTTGTATGATGACAGTAACTAGACTTATTGTGGTGATCATTTCAAAATGGACACAGACATTGAATGTGGTACACCTGAAATTAGTATAACACTGTATGTCAATTATATTTTAATAAAAAAAACTTGCTGATAATAAAACTGAGATTCGGGACTTCCCTGGTGGCACCGTGGTTAATACAGAATGTTAGTAAAAATTATTTGAAACAACCCACAAGTCCAGAAAAAGATTAATCACACAAATTACAATGTAGCCATGGGATAGGATATTATGCAACTACTAAATACATGTTTTGAAGAATATTTAATGACAAGGGAAATGGCCATAATACACAGTTAATTAAAAACTGCAGGTTACAGACTTCCCTGGTGGCACAGTAGTTAAGAATCCGCCTGCCAATGCAGGGGACACGGGTTCGAGCCCTGGTCTGGGAGGATCCCACCTGCCGCGAAACAACTAAGGCTGTGCACCACAACTACTGAGCCTGTGCTCTAGAGCCCGTGAGCCACAACTACTGAGCCTGCGTGCCACAACTACTGAAGCCCGCACACCTAGCGCCCGTGCTCCGCAACAAGACAAGCCTCCGCAGTGAGAAGCCCATGCACCGCAAGGAAGAGCAGCCCCCGCTCGCCACAACTAGAGAAAGCCTGAGCGCAGCAATGAAGACCCAACGCAGCCAAATATAAATAATTTTTTGAAAAAAAACTGCAGGTTATAACTATATCAACATAATGATCCCAACTTTTAAACATACATATATACATGTACTTGATAAAAGATAAGGAAACATACCACAATATTAACGGATATTCTCTGCGGGTGATGGGGTCACAAGTTAATTTTATTTTTTTTAAACTTTTCTATCTTTTCTAAATTTTCTCCAGTAAGGAAATGACATTTCATATCATACACAAACATATTATGTATATTTTAAGAACTGCTGAGTATTCAAAGTCTGTCCTCCTACTCACCTAAATTAAGGAAAAGTTCTCATGATTCTGGATGTTTCCCAGAGTAGCCTGTGTGGCTAGATTATTTTAAATAATATCTAGGACCAAAAAGCTAATATTGATACACACACACTCACACAGATGGCAAGGACAATAGAGTCTTGGCTGTTCCAAAGCTAAGGCACAAAACTGTCAGATCCAAGCCACTTCCACTCCTGGATGTGAGCCAGTTCTAAATTATCCAGACTCTTGGTTGGTTGTTTCTACTTCTCCGTTGAAGGTCTCCACCACAAAAAGAGCAAAGGCAGAGAAAGAAGTTGAGATCAAATTAGTAGTTTGCCTGCATTAGCAGCTCCGATCAAAAGGTTAGAAAGGGGCATAGAATAATGACTGAAATGAGCTTTAGAGGCTTGCTGTGCACTTGAATGATTTGTCCTCCTCCAGTCCCCATGGAGAGCTGGAAGCTACCGGCTTATTTTAAGAATCTGCATCTACGTGCCAAAGTGCCCTGCAGGTGACAGCATCAGATTCCCCCAAATGTGTGCGTCTCCGCATGGGACTCAAAATCAATTCTCCAAAAACACTGATCATTTATTTAAAAAGAACACTAAATGCCTCAAGTCCCTCCAGGAAATAATAGAGGAAAGGGCCAAGTCATAAATAAATTCACAAAAGATGCTTCATTTCTTCGAGAAGGGTTTCTGTACAATCTGAGATTTCTACTGATACTGGATACCTAAATCTTTCTGACTAAATAACAGATGACCTCAATACACTTGACCCTTAACCAACATGGGGGTTAATTCGCAAAGAACTTAGAGTCTGTCCCCTGTATCCAAGGTTCCTCCGCATTCGTGGATTCAACCAAGATGGACTGTGTGGTACTGTAGTCATTACTACTGAAAAATAACCACGTATAAGTGATTCATGCAGTACAAACCTGTGTTGTTTGAGTGTCAACTGTAGTGTGTGTGTGTGTGTGTGTGTGTGCACATAAGGTGTGTGTGTGAGTGTGTATGCATAGGGTGTGTGTGTATGTGCTTGGGTAGAAATGTAAATGTATGTGTACGAGTGAGTGTGTACACGGCATGTGGGTATAGAAGCATATGAGTAGATGTGAGTGTGTGTGTACTCATAGGTGTGTAAAGGTGGTGTGGTAGGGAAGGAGGGAGTACAAAGAAACAGGAAGCAAGAGTAAATACAAAACACACCCCTAGATGAACAAAAAGGAATCACTATCTTTTAGACCACCATGGAAAACCTGACTAAAATAAAGGGAAACTACTTTAAGTGCTACAAACATCACCAATATGATAACATATTCAATTTAGGTAACTTCCAACACATCACAAGACAAGGAACACCTCCATACTGATCACTTAGGAAATTAAATATAAGTCCATACTATCCCTGTCCCCACCTAGCTATTGTTCTAAAAGACCTTCAGCCAATGCCTGATCCATTCCAACCAAGTCTGGTAACGTATCTAGAGCCCCATCCCCACCAATCTGGAGAGTTACTCCTGCTGCCTTTAGCCTGTTCTGAATCTCTGGGCATGCACATGAGTATACACACACACACACACCTATAGACTTCACCAACCTCCCCACCCACCCACCCACGACTACCACACATGACTTGCTCACCTGCCTCAGTTTCTTGTATGATTCTGTCTTGCTTGGTTCCATCCATCCAGCCATCCCTCAATCCATCCAGCCATCCCTCAATCCATCCATCCATCCATCCATCCATCAATCCATCCAACATTAATTAAGAGTACTCTATATGTTACTCACTGGTGATCTCAGGTACACCTCCAGTCTCTCAGCTGGGGTATAAAAATCCTGACTAACTCTTGTCAATCCCCTTCCCCAAATCGAAATATGGAACCTTGATGCCCACATTCCTAGGCCCTGGGCACTTGCTTAGGTACTGTTTAAAACCAGAGACGACTCAAAATGGTTCCCATTCATCAAGGCAGAGGAAGCCTCTCCCAGAGGCCCCAGCTGCCATGTACATCCCACCACCCCACTCCAACGCACATGCACGCACGCACACACACACACATACACACATGAAGATCTGGTCCCTTGACATCAACCCAGGTTGAGCTGACTTTCCCTGCCCCACTGCCCATTTTACTCCTGGCAACCACCCCCATCCCCACCCCACACATATGTGCATCCTCTAGCTCCGGTCCCACTCATCCCACTTCGACCCCTCCAGTTTAGAATTGTAATTCTCATGGGCCTTACATCAAGATCACACAACAAAGATACCATTTCTTTGGTCAAAATGCATGTATAATAATATCAATAATAACACCTCCCATAGCACTAGACTTACAAAGCATTTGTTGACACTTTCCCCATTTTCCCACTATTTTGAACTTTCCAGCTCTACTACTCTCCGCGTATGATCCACAGACACCCCGCTGGAAAAGGAGAAGGGAGTGCTTTGAACTCAAATGACGCAGAATCATACGTACCTATACGCACGTGTGAAATATCTGAGACCAGTTCAGATTCAAAAGGAGCATGTGAGATGGGCAGTGAGCTCATCAGCCCCACCCGACCACGGCTGCCGCAGTGCTGGATAAACCAGAAACTGGTGAGCCACCACAGTCCAAAGGAAAGTAAGGGAGACCAACAAAACAAGGGCACTAGGGGGAATGCAAGCCCTATTTCAGTGACAAGTATTAAGTCCACTACGTAAGGAGCTGGAAGAAGAGCCCTGGTGTAGAACGCGGCAGGATTTGTGTCAGCTTTGCAAAGAACATGGTCCGAGCGAGATGGCAGGTGAGAAGCCGGGTCTCTCCTCGGCCTCTACATGTCCTGAGCACAGGAAACCAACCCTGGCCCCACACACCACGGCCTGGCGCCTCCATGAAGCACAGCCAAGCTCAGGGGCATTGGCCTGGGATTCTCCACTGTGCTGCTCCCATCCTCCACGCCCCCCGCGACTCCCCAAACCTGAAGAGCTTTGTAGGGCTTGCCTTTTATCAGCCGCTCAGGTCTCGTCCCGGGTAAGGTCCACATTGCCTGTGCCAAGTGTCCAAAGACGGTGGCGTCTAGAGTGGAAAGTTTGGGCCCCATGATGTACTTCTTATCACCTGCAGCAGAGAGAGCAGAGAGAGGTCACTGGGCCAGCCCTCACCGTCCCACTACGTCACAACAGCATTCAGCACGCACCCATTATATGCCCGTTTAAGTGTGCATCCAAAGCTTTGCAAAACCAGGGCTTCCCTGGTGGCACAGTGGATGGGAGTCCGCCTGCCGATGCGGGGGCCGCGGGTTCGTGCCCCGGTCCGGGAAGATCCCACATGCCGCGGAGCGGCTGGGCCCGTGAGCCATGGCCCCTGGGCCTGCGCGTCCAGAGCCTGTGCTCCGCGGCGGGAGGGGCCGCAGCAGTGAGAGGCCCGCGTACCGCAAAAAAAAAGCTTTGCAAAACCAAATGCATGTACCCCCTTTGACTTATAACTAGAAACAAAAGTAAAGCAAGTTAAACAATTCTGTGATATATCAACCCACACAACAGCAAAGCAGGGAAGTAACTGGAAACATATCAAGATACGTGGATGAGAGAGGGGGTTCCTGGGAAAAAGGAAGAATTGATCACCCCCAGACCTCCAGAGGCACCTCCTTGTCTCCAACTCTAGCCATTAAAGTCTGAGGTGCTTGAGAACACCTGGAAGTTTGCTTAAACCATCTCTAGTAACCCCAGCCAAGCACACCCAGCCTCAGCACTTACTTTATTAAATTAATTCATTTCCTCGGGAGAAACAAGAAGCCTAAGCTACTTAGGAAGTTTGGAGGCAAGGCTTCCCGTGATGTCTCCATGGTCTTGGCAAAGTTCTCACCACTGAGCACCAGCAGGAAACAAACATAAAGAGAAGCTTTAAAATTGCAGACCCAGCCCTGGGATCAGGCTCCCATACAGGGATGTCTCACTTTGCCGCTCCCAGCTCTCCTTTTCTACCACGGCTGACCTAGTTCAGGCCTTATCACCTGGACTTATCACATCTTACCCACTACAATTGCCCCAGGTCGTCTCCAGGCCACTGTGTTGCAGGATAAAGAGGCAGCCCAGGTGGAAACGGATCCATCCTACGTCACATCCTGTCACCACTGTTATTCACTACGGAAAGCCTGGTCATTAACTAACCTCGCAAAGCTTCAGCTTTCCCATCTGGAAAATGGGGATGCTATTAAGGGTATTTCTTAGGGCTACTGTGAGAATTAAACGACATAACACATGTAAAGCACTTAGCACCGTATCTGGTTAACTCATCAAACACCAGCACTCATGAGGAGAGACCTCTGTTTCTCCGGTCCATTCCATATCCCACCCATACTTAAATCTGTAAGACACTCTTTTCACTGTGGCACTCCCTTTCACAAAGACCTTCAATGGTTTATGGGCTATGAAATACAGTCCAAACTCAACCTGGAATCCAAGGCTCATCGCACTCTGTTCCCACCCATGTTCCAGCTTCATCCCTCATCCTCCTTTACCCCAGCAGACCCAGAACAGCTCCACTCCCCAGCACACTTCATGCTTCCCACTGCCACACCTCTGCCCCCCAAAACCCATCTGTGCCCCCCACTTCTCTCCATCTGGTAGATTCTATCCATCTTTCCACCAGAAGCCTCCTTTCAAAGCCGTCTCAGGGCAATAGAAGCTTTCAGTTCAGACAGCCCTGTTTCAAATCTCACTTTTACACATATGACCCAGTTTCAGAGAGGAGAAAACAAGTTAAAGGAGAGCTACACTGGCTTCCTGGCCCCCGAAAATGTTGATTTCCTTAAATGGCTAAAAGGAAAGAGTCTAAGGGAAATGCCAGAGTAAATTGTGAATTCTGTTGTAGACTCCAAAGACTTTGGGGGGCAAGAGGAAAAAACGTACATGAGTTTATAAAAACTTAGGAAATCTGAGCACTTAAGACCTTGATAAAAGGGAAAATATACTAAACATAATCATTTGGATCCGTACATCAACTACCGCATATAGTGTTCAGCCCAAATTTGCCACTTGACTCAGAATGTTAAAACCGGAAGGGTACTGAGTCAGTAACAGAACCAGACTAAAAATGCTGGCACCTGGGCCTCCTGACTCCCAGCCTGATGCTCTCTGCTCTGTACAATATGCCGTGAGCAGAACCACCTCAGAGATAAAGACCCTCCATGCAACAGCAAGAGGGTTGAGCTGTGGACGTTTACAAAAGGATGCTTTAGTCAGGAGGGAACACAGAATACAGAAGGAAAAAAAGAACAAAAGTCTAAGGAACTTGCCAAAAAAAAAGGAACTTGCCAAAAAAAAAAAAAAAGGATAGAATTTAGCCTTCATGGTAGATACACAATTATATGTATATATACACACAAGACAGTTATAAATTTAAAGAATATAAAAATACCCTCTGTTACTAAGAAATCCTCCGGTCTTTCTGTATACCCTTCAAGCAGCTTCTGCTAAGATTAACATCTTAGCTAACCACAGTACGTTTACCAAAACTAAAAAATTAACATCAATATAATACAATTAACTGCACTATAGGCTTCATTCAAATTTTATTAGTTTTTCAACTAGTATCCTTTTCTGTTCCAGGGTACCAGCTAGGATCCCACACTGCATTTAGTTATCAGGTTGCCTTAGTCTCCTCCAATCTCCTCAGGCTTGCATTGTCTTTCATAGCCTTGACACTCTTATTAAAGAATACTGGTCAGTGATTTTGTAAAATTTTCATCAACTTGGGTTTGTCTAAGGTGGTTAATAATTAGAGTAGTCATGCATTTTTATGAACCCTTCTGTGATGGTTATTTTATGTGCCAACCTGACTGGACTATGGGTGCTAAGTTATGTGGTCAAACATTATTCTGGGTGTTTCTGTGAGGGTGTTTTGGATGAGATTAACATTTAAGTGGTAGAGTGAGTAAAGCAGAATGCTCTCCCTAATGTGGGTGGGCCTCGTCCCATTAGATGAAGGCCTTATTGGACGATAGGGCTGACTCCCTGGAGTAAGAGAGAATTCCTCCTGCCTGACTGCCTCTGCACTGGGACATGGGCTTTTTCTTGCCTTCAGACTTAAATGGAAACATTGGCTCTTTCTTGGTCTTGAGCCAGTTCATACTGGAACTACACCATCAGCCCTCCCAAGTCTCCACCTGCCAACCCACCCTGCAGATCTTGGGACTTGTCAGCCTCCACAGTTGTATGAGTCAATATGACTTTATTGTAGAAGAGAAATAGACATGGATAGATCTAGATATCTACATCTAGATCTCCTATTGGCTTGTTTCTCTGGAGAACCCTAATACCCCTTCTCGGGGCATCATATCAGGGGGTCCACAATGTCCATATGTCCATATCACTGGGGATGTTAACCTTGACCATGCGGTGAAGGTGGTGTCTATAAGTTTTCTTCACTGTAATGTCACTATTTTTCCTTTTGCAGTTAATAGCCTTGGGAGAGAGACTTTGAGACTGTATAAATACCCTGTTTCTCCTCAAACTTTGGCCCACTAATTTTAGTCTCCATCAGTAGATGTCATCTGAAACAATTATTACTGTGGTGTTTGCCTAATCAGGATTTTCTATTTCTCTCAATCCTTCTACATGTATTGATCCAAATGCTACTGCTCCCTTCATCCCCCATTTACTGACATATTCCATTATTTATTTAAGTGTGCACTTGTCGATATATATTTTATTCTATGGCCTATAATCCAGTACTCTCATTATTCTTTTTGCTGTTCAAATTGTTCCAGATTTGGCCTTTTGAGCTTGGCAGGAAGTATTTTTAAGAGGGAGACTGAGTTTAGATTAGACTCTGCTTAGAGATGAAGAGGACAAGCCCAAGTCTCAAGTCTGCAGCACGCCCAGGCTTCACCAAGTGAGCCCATTTTTCATTAGTGGAGGGTGTTAGCAAAAACAAACACTACGGGCACTTCCGAAGGGCACTGAAGGAGCAGGCTTGGGTGACGAGGCAACTCAAGCCTCATTTTCAGTAGGTAAACCAGCCCCCCAGTTTCTGTAGAGATGGACAGAGGGAGCTGAGGGATATCTGAGCACCTGTAACTCCCTGCCAGCCCCCAGATTTGGTGTGTGGACCATGAACCATTGGTGAGAGCAAATAAAGATTGAAAATATCAGAAACACTGGGAGGTGAGGAACCCAGGGCACATGGGACTCCCTAAGGGCCGAGGGACGAGGAGAGGACAAATAGAGAGGAACATGGATCTTAAAAGTCCCACCAGAGGGAGGGACCGCAAAACAGAGCAAGGCTGTTTGCCTCCTGCCTGCCTCTCAGCCTCTTCCTCAGGGAGGATGCATGAGAGCTGCCAGCAGATAGGTCTCTCCAGGCCCCGGCAGGACAAGTCAAGGTCTACCTCATGCGAATGCTCTACTTCAGTCAAATATGCCGGGAGCTCATCCCACCACCATCCTTCATCCCATCCTTCCTGTCTCAAATAACCTCCACTTGTCTAACCCAACCCTTCCCTTATGACTCAGATCAAGTTCTCCCTCCTCCAGTCCAGGAAGGCTACCTGCACTGTCCACTCCCCTAGCACCTCTCATTGCCCACTCCCCTGCCAAACCCCAGAGGGACAACTGCTTAGAGCAGGGCTGCTCAAAGGGTAACCTGATGCCAGCATCAGCATCACACATGCTCAGGTCCCATCTACTGAATCAGAATGACTGGGAGAAAGTATGTGTTTCAACAAGCTTCCAGGTCAGTGTTTCTTAAACTTTAGAGGCATAAAAATTCCCTGGAGAGCCTGCAGTTCTTAGACCACACTCTGAATAGAGCTGTTCCAGATGATTCTTATGCACGCTGAAGTTTGAGAACCACTGGTCCAGACTAGAGTATGTCAGTGGTCTTAAACTCGAGCATGCATCAGCAACACCTAGCGGGCTTTTTAAAACTACTGATTTATCCCCCATGCAACCCCAAGCCAGGAGTTTCTGATTCAGTAGGTATGGAGTGGCACCCAAGAATCTGCCTTGCTAACAAGATCTCAGGTAATGTTGATGCTGCTGAGGGACGACACTTTAAGAACCACTGGTCTAGATCACTCATTAGGTAATCCACACATCATCTCACAGTCTTATTTA